TAACTGACGTTTTTTGGGTCGATAAGATATTGTATTAACGTAAGACAATATATCCAGTGCTAACGTTACCAACCAAGTCATGCTAGCTAGTCAGGAAGTGAGTTTAATAACACTCCAAAGTTAGTATAACATTTTGGCAAGGGAGAAAGTTTCATGGCCATTTTCAAAGGGGCCCCGTGACTTCTGACCTCAAGATATCTGAATTAAAATAGGTTCTGTGGGTACCTGCAAGTCTCCCCTTATTAAAGACATGCTTACCTTTATGCTAATCCCATGGAGTTTTTCCTCATGTAATGTATGATGTCTTAAAATTGCATAAATTTGGTGTGACTGGCAAACTGTAACGTTATTCAGTAAGCTTTATTCATGTGTGATGACGTTAGTCCCCATAGGAGCCATTTCATTGTAAGACCAATTTCTGTAACTTATTATTCTCTGTGTATAAAATAACCTGTTGTGACCTCTATAATAATCACAGTGTCATGAAATTCTACAGCCACACACGAGGGACCTGGGGCAGTCAGGATGCGGTACTTTCGTTATGTATATTCACAATAAGGGGGTTTCTGAGCAGTTTTCAGAACAGATGTGCTTGCCATCTTATGGCCCAACAACTACAATGTTAACAGAAATCTCTAACGTTTCATGTCAAAAGTTTTCAATCATATCCCTGTGACTTCTTACAGGGTTTCTGCAGTGATCAGCTAACATCAGAGCCTTCAGGTAATATTTAAGTGAGCTTTTCACTCAATTTGATAAATAATTGCTCCTTCAAAAGCCTTTATGTTCAGGTTTTACTGGCCAGTTCCATAATATTTTAAATGTACATTGTCCTTGTCAAACTAACTTGCCTGGGTGTCTTTCTTGAGAGCATGGCAAAAAATAGAACGATTCGGACAGTGATGACAACCTGCTGCACAAACAGGAATAGTTTTGGTATTGACAATGGCCATGGCACTCCTAACAGTTTTGACTTTATTGTGACGGGTCCAGGGCACAGTGACAGGCAGGGTGAGTTGTCCAAAGGTTGCAAGTATTCATCAAAACGCTTTGCACTTCAATGAGTACATATATATATATATATATATATATATATATATATATATATATAT